TTTCTCCCCCCTTGCTTTTTTTTTTTTTTTTTATATTTTATTATGTATACAACATTCTGCTTCCATGTCTATCTGCACACCAGAAGAGGGCGCCAGTTCTCATAACGGATGGCTGTGAGCCACCATGTGGTTGCTGGGAATTGAACTCAGGACCTCTGGAAGAGCAGTCAGTGTGCTCTTAACCTCTGAGCCATCTCTCCAGCCCCCTCTCATGCTTTTTTAAAAAGATTATTTCTGTTTTGCTTGAGACAGCGTCTCACTATGTAGCCTTCCTTGGCTGGCCTGGAACTCATATGTGTGTGTGCTCAGAGATCTGCCGGCTTCTGCCTCCAGGAAACTGGAATTAAAGGCGTGTGGCACCCACCACGCCTTGCTAATTTCTCATTTTTTAAAACGTGTATGGGTGTTTCGTCACATATGCGTATATGCACACCATGTTTGCCTGGGTTCCGAGGAGGCCAGAAGATCCCCTGGAACTGGAGATACAAGGTGGGTATGAGCCACCACACAGGTGCTGGGAATTGAACCTGGGTCCTCTGCAAAAAAACAAACGAAAACAAAACACAACAAACAAGTGCTCTTAACCTATCGCCTATTTTATTGGTATGTGCAAAATGGAAGCGAGTGCCCTTTAGCGAGGTCAAGGTCAATTTTGTGGAGCTAGTCCTCCCTTTCCACCCTTATGTCAGGTCGGGGTGTCGAACTCAGGTTGCTAGCCTTGCTTGACAAGCTCTTTACCTCCTGTGCCATGCCTCTGGCTCCTGAGCCACATTTAAGTTTGTGTGCGCACACATGTGCAAAGCCATGGCGTGTGCATGGATGGAGATCAGAATATGGCTTTTAGGAGTCCGTTTGGTCCTACCATGTGGAACGGAACCTAGGTTATCAGGTTTGGTAGCAAGTACCTCTACCCAGGGATCCATCTGGCTGGCATCTTTTCTCGATTCTCAGGAAAGACCTCCATTTTCTGCTCCTCTCTCGGTTCACACAGCCGTCTTCACCATCCAGGGGCACCTTGTTTATTCGAGTGTAACACACTGTTGTCTTGGAGCTCTCCCTTGGTTACAACTGCCAGTCATCTAAAAGAATGTACAAGAGAGCTAGCTATCTCTGGTGGAGCACACCTGCAATCCAAGTATTTGGGAGGTGGAGGCAGGAAGAGTCATCCATGGCTATGAGACAAGTCTAGGCCAGCCTGGGCTACATGAAAACCTGTTGAAAGTGTGTGAGAACTACTTGCATCCAGTCACCTTCGAAAGGCCCAGTTTGTCTGAAATGCAGCTGTACCACGGTCATTTAACAATCTCTGCACCTGCCTTCTTGTGCCTTTGGTGACTCCAGAGTCCACCTATCACCAACCTGTCAACATTGTAGCAGCTGAGCCTGCTGGCTCAAGCTTGTAACTGCAGCTACTTAGGTGCCTGAGGCAGGAAGACACAGTTCAAGGCCAGCTTGGGCTACAGAGTTAAGTTCAAGGCTAGTCTGGGCAATTTAGCAAGACCCTGTGTCAAAGTAAATAAAAGTAGGGCTTTTTCTGAGACAGGGTTTCTCTGTGTAGCTCTGGCTGTCCTGGAACTCGCTATGTAGACCAGGCTGGCCTCGAACTCATGAAATCACAGAGATCTGCCTGCCTCTGCCTCTTGAATGCTGGGGATAAAGGCATGAGCCACCATTGCCCAGAAGATTTTGGGTTTTGTGACAGTCTTTCCATATGGCACAAGTTGGCCTCCAATTTAGCATCTTCCTGCCTCTGTCTTCACTGTGCTGGGATTACAGGTGTGTACCAAGTCCAGCATGTTCATAGCCTGAAGAAACCTTTGACAAAGCCCAGCCACCTTTCTGTTTAAAAACAGATGTTAATTTTCATTTAGATGTGTGTGCTTATGTGTTTCTATGTGTATGTGTGTGCACTCATGCATTGGGGTGACCTCAGAGGCCAGAAAAGGACAGGATCCCTTGGAGCTGGAGATACAGGTGGTTGTGAGCTTCCCAACATGGGTGCTGGGACCCAAACTCTGGTCCTCAAGACTGAGCAGTAAGTGTTCCCACCAGCTGAGCCATCTCTCCAGCCCCATCCCAACAGCCATTCTTTCAGTTTCCTTTTAGGTTTCTGTGTATGAGTGTTTTGCTTGCATGTATATGTGCACTACGTGTGTGCCTGATTCCTGTGCAGGACAGAATAGGGTGTCAGATCCCCTGAAACTGGAGTTACAGATGTTTATGATTGTTGAGCTGCCACGAAGGTGCTAGGAATCGAACCTGGGTCCTCTGCAAGAGCAACAATGCTCTTAATCACTGAGCTATCACTCCAACATCCATTCACACACACACACACACACACACACACACACACACACACACACAGAGAGAGAGAGAGAGAGAGACAGAGAGAGGATGACTATGCAAAGAACTTTCACAAATCATGATCACCCACCACGTTATACAGAATGCAGTGGTCAAGGAGCCAATAAAGAGATGTCAGAGGGCCAGACAGATGGCTCAGGTGTTCTGATGTGATAAAACACTGACCAAAACAGACTTGGGAAGAGTCAGGCAGTGGTGGTCCATGCCAATGGGGGGATGTCCTTCTGTATGTTTCTCTTACTGGTTGATGAATAAAACATTGTTTGGCCAGTAGAGGCAGGAAGATAGGCAGGACTAGGAGACGAGAATGCTGGGAAAGGGAAGGCAGAGAGAGACTTCGAGAGAACACCATGTAGCCGCCAAAGAAGTAACAGGTCTGGACCCTTCACTGGTAAGATAAGACCCAACAGTTTTATAATATGTCTGTGTGCTTATTTGGGGCTGAAAAGTGGCCACAGGACCAGGCTGGAAAGAAACTCCAGTGCCTTTAATCCCAGTACTTGGGAGGCAGAGGCAGGTGGATCTCTGTGAGTTCGAGGCCAGCCTGGTCTCCAAAGCTACACAGAAAAACTCTTTTTTGAAAAATCAAAAAAATAAAACAAAACAAAAAACCAACCAACCAAACAAACAAAAAAACCCAACCAAAACAAACGTGGGGGAAGAAAGGGTTTATTTCAGTTTATCACTCTAAGGTCACAGTCCATCTTGGAAGGAATCAGGGCAGAAACTTGAGGCAGGAACTGAGGCAGAGGCTATGGAGGAGTGTGGCTTACTGGCTTTCTCTTCTGGCTTGTCCAGCTACTTCTTCTAGAGATGGCGCTGCCTATGGTGGGCTGGGCCTTGCTACATACATCAATCGGCAACAAAAAAAATGCCTCATAGGCTTACCCATGGGCCAATACGCTGGAGGTCATTCCTCAGTTGAGGCCCCTCTCTCCAGGAAAATCAAGTTGACAATCAAGATTTGCTTCACACACTGCAACCATGAGGGTCTGAAATGCAGATCTCAGCATCATTGTAAAAAAGTATCTATAACCCCACCCCCGTGGGAGGTAGAGACAGGAGGGGGTCAGCCTAGTCCCAGTTTCTGTGAGAGACGGTCTCAGGGCAAGTGATAGAGGACACCTGATACCCTGCTCTGGCCTCTGCATATATGCACGTGGACACATATACCTACTTGTGTGTACACCACACAGAAGACACATATACCCCAAAGTCATGGAGAATCATGTGACCAAGTGCAAACTAACATGATGGAGTACCCTGACAGGCTATCTGAGATGTGGGCAGAAACGACTCATTTTGAAGAGATAAAGCAGCCTTCAGAATATATGATAAGAGTAACCTCAGTGGTTGAGAGCACTGATGCTCTTCACAGCACCGAGGTTCCATTCTCGGCACCCACATGGCAGCTCGTAGCCTTTTGTAACTCTAGCTCCAGGGGATCAGAGCCCTCTTCTGCCTCCTCACTTTCAAGTACACGGACATATATGCAGACAAAAGATAAAATATCTAGCAAAAATGTCTAGACCCATGAAAGACCGATTTTAGGGAAATTCATTTACCAATATTAGTATTCTCCAATAAACTCAAGGCTACAAAGCAGTTTTTAAAATTTGTGTGTGCCTGTGTTCGTGTGTGTGCAGATGCCATGCACACGTGGAAGTCAGAGGACAGCCTTTAGTGCTCTTTGTGACAGAGTGCCACCTTGTTTTCTGATACAGGCCTCTCACTGGTCCCAGGATTGCTGGCTCCTCAGGGAAGCTCAGGAATTCTCTCCCTACATTACCAGTGCTGAGCCTACAAGTATGTCACTTCATGTAGTTTTCCAGGTGGGTTTTGGGGACAAACCTGGGACATCATTCTTGGGAAACAAGCATTTTACAGGCTGTTCTGACTCCCAGCCCTAATTTTTTTGAGCCAGGATATTTAGTCTGAGCTGACCTCAAACTTCTCATGATCCTCCTGCCTCATCCTCCATGTTATGGGATTATAGGCATCACCACTGGGCTAGCTGGGTATGGTAGTACTCACCTTTAATCCCAACACTCCAGAGCCAGAGGCAGGTGCTCTTTGAGGTGGAGGCCAGCCTGGTCTACAGACTCAGGTCTGGGACAGGCAGGGCCACACAGAGAACCGGTTTCACCTCCCACCCCCTGCTCTCTGAATAAATGCTGCAAGATAAAAAAAAAAAAAAATGAAATCCCAAACACAGCAAGGAAACTTTGGGATTTAAAATTTTGCAAATTTTGGGAAAATAGGATAAATAATCCAGGCAGATGTGTTGACTCTAGTTACTACACAAGCCTGGCGACCTGAATTTGGTCCCCTGAACCCACCCACATCAAGGGTGAAAATAGAATTTTAAGCTAGCCAAACAACTGGAAAAATATATTTGTAACTCATGTCACAAACCATTGTCATACCTAATGCCACTCATATAGTCAACTACTACAGTCATGAAAGGAATTATTGAGGGGAGAAATGGATGAAGAATGTGGACAGTTAGCTGTGTGGCGGCACACACTTTTAATGCCAGCATTCAGGAGGCAGAGGCAGGCAGATTTCTGAGTTTGAGGACATCCTGGTCTACCGATTGAGGTCCACGACAGCCAGGGCTATACAGAGAAACCCTGTCTCGAAAAACAACAAAACAAAAAAGGAATGTGGACAGTCAAGAAGTTAAATTTTTGTGGTGCTGGGGGCCAGAGACTTACTTATGCATTTTAGGCAGGGGCTCTACCACTGAGCTACGCCCTTAGCCCCTCATGGGGTTGATTCTAGGCAGGAGCTCTGCCACTGAGCCACACCCCCAGCTCCTCCTTGGGGGATTCTAGGCAGGGGCTCTACCACTGAGCCACACCCCAGCCCCTCACTGGGGGATTCCAGGCAGGGGCTCTACTACTGAGCCACACCCCAGCCTTTCTGGGGGATTCCAGGCAGGGGCTCTACCACTGAGCCATGTACTCAGCCCCTCTCTGGGGTTGGCATGCTATCACTAGGCTCTTCTAGGAGAGTGTGCTATCATTAGACAAATATTTCCAGCCCTCTTTTCATTTTTAAACGAAAAAGACTGCTTACATTAAAAACCTTAAAACTAGGCCGGGTCTTGGTGGCGCACACCTTTAATCCTAGCACTTGGGAGGCAGAGGCCAGCCTGGTTTCCAGAGCGAGTACCAGGAAAGGCTCCAAAGCTACACAGAGAAACTCTGTCTTGAAAAACCATAAAAACAAAACAAAACCTAAAAACTGGTCTTTCTGGTCTTGGCTCCAAGATGACAAAAACAAAAACAAACAAAAAAACAGGCATGCCAAAATAAGGCCTCGGCCATGTGCAGCCAATTCACTGCATGAACTGGGCCCAGTGAGTACCCAAGGACAAGGCCATTAAGAAGGCTGTCATTTGGAACACTGTAGAGGATGCTATCAGGGACATAAATGAAGCAAGTGTCTTACGTGCTTTCTAAACTCTATGTCAAGCTGCATTACTGTGTGAGCTGTGCTATTCATAGCAAAATAGTCAGGAATCCATCTCAGGAAGCAGAGAAGGACCAAACACCCCCACCACGATTTAGACCTGCTGGTGCTGCACCACGACTGCCACCAAAGCCCATGTAAAGAGATGGCTTCATGCTGGGCGTTGGTGGAGCATGTCTTTAATCCAGCACTCGGGAGGCAGAGGCAGAGGCAGGTGGATCTCTGTGAGTTAAGAGGCCAGAGCGAGTGCCAGGACAGGCTCTGTTTTCTACACAGAGAAACCCTGTCTTGAAAACCCAAAAAACAAAAACAGAAAAAGGGATGGCTTCATGAAGACAGAAGGAAAACCACCTTCAAAAAATAAAAGGGGACTTTGTGTAGAAAAAAAAAACCCAAAACCTTAAAACTGGTATCCTTTTTTCTACCATCAGGCTGGTAAGCACTATACATGTGATGGTTGAGTATACTGGCCAGACAATCAGAAATTAGCCGTTTACCAATCACTGGTGGGACTGTAAAGAGGCCAGTTGGCCGTATCTGAAAAGTTACAAAAGCAAACTTCTGGCCCAGGAGTATCACTTCTAGAAATCAGACTACAGATATTACCAAGAACAAAAACCCTAAGGAGCTAGTGAGATGCACCATCAATTTCATGGAAACCTAAAGGAAAAAGAAAAAAAAAAAAAGATTACACCATACACCATCATGCGTATGACATATTCCAACTTGAGACGGTAAACATGAAAAATGCCTTGCGTTCAGAACCAAAGCAGAGCCAGGTGATATGTACAGACAATCTACCAGAGAGGGGCCTTTATACTGCCAGGAGAAAAGGATTTGAAACTACCCAAGCGGCCATCAGCACGTTTCTGGTTCATTACAGCATAACCACAGAATGCAAAGAAATAGAGCTTTTTAGGAGTAGGTCGGGGAGGTTCTTCAAGATACTTAATGAAATCACAATATGTAAACCAAAATATGTCAACTTTGTAACGAAATAAAAAAGAATAGATTGTATATACATAATGAAATTAGGAAGGAAACTGGCTTCAGAGGCTGCTTTAGGTACAGACACAAGGAGGGAAGGACAAAGGACTTCCATCTTCATATTCTTGGGACTCATGTCGGAAAATGGAAAACAACATTCCAGATGTCTGATATCGTTTAAAACAACATTTATCACTACACTATATACAATATTTATGCTGTTTGCCATTCCCAACGTCCCAGAAACACAAACTCAGTCTTACACTCTCCACTCTTCGTTGACTCCGACATGAAGAGAAGTCGGGAGTTCTGCAAAGGTCAAGTGCTGGACAGAAACTTGGTCCTAAAACCAGTTTTAACTCTGGACGGTGATCTTCCTTCATCGCGGGCGTACAGTCTACTACTGGACATCTTCTTTCCAGTCTCAAAACTTTACAGAAACCATCCTTTCTTTACTCAGTAACGAAGCCACGTGGATGGGCGTCTTTTTTTTTTTTTTTTTCCCTCCCCGGGAACACAACAACTCTCAACCGATCATAAAACTCAAGAAACGCTAACAAGAGTCTAACGATGCTTTTGGACAATCCCTCCCCTGATTTTCTGACACTTTCTTTCCCAGCCCCACACCCCCTCCCCACCACC